ATAGAGCCCAAGAATTCTATAGCTAGTCCAGCTCAAACGGAAGCTGGTAAAGACTTATCAAATCCGTTTATGGTTCTGGGCTTACCAAAAACTCAATAGACTCAGGGGACTGTTGATTCTCCTACTTCTCAATTTAATCAGACTCAACAGGCTGAAAATCCTGTTACAGATAACAAAAATTTTTCTGAAGATCAGACACAGCAGATTGGTAATTCTTCTACTAGACTTATCAGTCCAATGGACCTTAAACAGAAAAGCCCAATTAATTTTCCAGAACCATTTCAATCAGCTCAAGATCCAGAACAGATTTCTCAATCAGATATTAGAAGAATCAAAGAAATGTTTGAGAAAATTGAAGAAATACAGCAACAAGTTAAACAAAGCACTACAAAGAAAAAGAAAATACAGATTAAAAAGAAAAATAAAGGCAAAAAGAAAATTGAACAAGAAAAAGATTTGGATAATCTTGAAGACAATAACTCAGAAGATGATGATAATCTAGAAGGATGTATGACGGAGGAGATTCTTTAGACAGCATTGGCAGACACAATTATGAAACAAGATAATGATTCCAGCATAAAGAAGACACTTGGCAAAACCATTTGAAGACAAATCCAAAGAAAAATCAAGAATTATTGTACGAAAAGATTGAATTTTTACTGTTTTCTTTTAGAAAAATTTGTAAAGAATCTTACTGTTTGATAAAGTAAGATTTGATAGCATATATTTTACTGTTTTCTTTTTGACGTTTTGAAAAAAGCAAAGATTCCTTGCTTTTGAAAAACGTTTTCTTTATCTTTCTTCTCCTATAAAAGGAGACCATTCTTTCATTTGTAAACACAAGAAAATCAATACAATACAAGTTTTGAATTCTCTCAAATATGTTCTAATTTTCTTTCTCTCCCGAAAGGGAAATTCTTAATTGTTCTTATTCTTAGATAGAATAATATCCCACAAAAATATTTTATTTAAGAACTACCGATGGATCATTCCGGTAGGTATGCTTTATAGTTCTAAGATATGGTGCTAATAGTTAATATTAGTTCCAGATCTTATAAGAACATTTTCTGTTTATAAAATTTTTTGATTTTTGTAAAGAATCTTATGTTTCATGCTGAGTATATGATAAGAGCATGTCTTAACTTCAAGTTAAAAGTTTTAAACTGTTTTTAAAATAAACCCTGAGTGACCTCTCAAAGCGTAAAGGCCCAGTGGAGAGGCTAGAAGACGCATAGAAGAGGGAAAGGGATCACTGTTTTAAGAATTCTTGTTAAGGGAGTGCCAGTGGTGTCCTTACAAGAATGGAGTTAGGCCCAAGTTCATATATCTCAGATGGCATGTTTTAAAAAAAAAAA